GAGAGAGAGAGAGAGAGAGAGAGAGAGAGAGAGAGAGAGAAGAAAAATCAGAAAGAGAGGGGATGGGGAAGTCTCTGCTGCTGCTTGGAATCAGCGGTACAACTCCTGATTCCCACTTTTCTACATCAACATACTTTGGTTTTTCTCTATAAATTCTATGAAAACTCTTTGTAACATAATTATAAGGACCTAAAAAATATAACAATAGGCTTGTCCATCAATAACATTTGCTCTTCCAATTGCTCTTTCATCTGAGCAAGCAAGGCTCTTTTTATAAGAGACCTGGCCAAGAGTGTAGTCTGGGTTCTGGACAAGGGCTCCCTGAACAGCTAAGCGGTCCTATGAGCACTTGGCTGAAAGGGAATCCAATAGCTTTGTCAGGGGATGTCAACTGTGGACACAACTGTCCCCCAGGCATGGTGAAACACAAAGATAAACACAATAGAGTGACTGTTTTCAAGGAGTCTACAAAAAAATGGTAATATTGAATTAAGTGTCAACACAAACTACAACATAAGGGTATACATGAGTGAATGCAGCCTGTTCCAAGAAGGTGATCACTGTGGACTGAATAGATTAGAACATTTCCATGGAAGAAACTGACTTGAGCTGGGTCCTGAAGGGATGAAAGGATTTGGCTGAATAGAGGATAGGAAGGACAGTAAATTCTGAATAGGACTTCTTTGCATATGCTGCTCCCAGTGCTTGCAATGGTCTTATCCCCATTTCTCACTCTACCCACACCACCACCACCACCATTTTCTTAGTGCAGCTGGCTCCTTCTCATATTTGGTTTAAGTGTTCACCTCCTCAGGACACCCTACATATGTGACCCACTCCCCTGAATTGTCTATCACAGCATCAGTGACTTATTTGCACATAATTCATTGAATCGCCAGTGTAACCTTGTGTTTATCTGCCCAGCCCCTCCACCTGCACTGAGTCAGTGACCACATTCTCTGTGTTTGTTTACAATGCTTCCTTGACAATGATGGCCATCTCTATCCAGCCTTCCTATCTCTATCTAGCCAAATCCTTCCATCCCTTCCAGACCAAGCTCAAGTCAATCTCTTCCATGAAACTGTTCCAGCCCATTCCATCCACGGTGCATCAAGAACAGGAGAAGGCCAAACAAAGGGCCCCACAAAGCATCTACTTTTCAAGCGAGAGAGAGAGAGAGAACCCTAGGAAAGAGAGGAACAGGAGAAACAGGAGCAGGCAATGTTCCCAATCCCAAAGAACGGATGGCAAACAGCCTTAGAAACTAGGCAACTGTAGAGTGGGGTGAGAACAAAGGGTTTTCCACTTAGAGATCACCCATGATCTTCAAGAGAAAGTTTCATCAGGATGGTAGTGATGGAAAGTGAATTGTCAGAGTTCAAGAGTATGCTTTTGAGAAGCCTGAAAAAAAAGAAAGAAAAAAGCATTAGTTTGAGTTTAAGGATGGGAGAGATATGGATAGTTGACAAGGAAAAGATTAAAGACGTAGGGGCAAGCAGGGGTAGCTGATGGTGCTGAAGAGGGGAATCATAGGGAATCTTTTTCAATGTGTAGCTAAAAGAAGCTTTAGGACATTCCTCACAAAGTAACCAAGACGTGTGAGGCAAGAGCCTACCTTTATATTTGCTATTTCCTCACAGGTTGGAACAATGGCAGAAAGCCATAAAAGAGGCCTGACAGGCAATAGGTCTCTGTTAGTAAGGCAATGAGGAATGAACACAAAACCAACTGCAATGGGAGGGTTGCCAGTATGGCAAAGACCAACCATACCCGTTTATCTTCTCCTCCAGATATCTTGACCCAAATAAATCCACATGGCCCTCACTCATATACTTAAGAAATGTAAAATCTTCCCCCACCACACCATAGAATTTCAGATCTAGAAGGGACATTAAAAACTATCTAATCAACAACAAAATGGACCCAAATCAAGGATGACATTTTCCTTTCCCAATTGTCATTTCCTTTTTTCCTCTGCAGGGTAATATTTCTTTTAATAAAATTCACTCTTTCCCTAAAATATGACAAAAGCATAGCCAATAAATAGAAATTCTCATCTCTCCATCTGCAAATCTCTAACTGGATTAATAATTCACTCCCTCTCAGTGCCTTAAAAATGGGACTTTTATCATTGAATTCATCTGTAAAACTGTTCTCTTCTCCTCCCACTTGCTAAATGGACTCAATTTATCACTCATTTTATGGGAGCTTATCTACTCCAAGAGAAGTTTGATCAGATAACCTGGTCCTTAGAAAAGCAGAGAAAGATTGCTAGGAATGGCTTCTATTGTTTGAGAACCTCCCTTTGATGTGAATTTTTAGGACTGTTACAAGATGTCACCAGGGTCTCTCACAGATTTGATGGTCCAGGGAATTATTATCTTGGTCCTGGGGTCTGGAGAGCTTTGCTGAACATGCTCACTGGATCCAGTCTTTCAGAGTGATTTGAGGATGAGCTTAATCCCCAGTCAGAAACTGAACATTCCTAGTTTAATGTTGTGATATAATATGACAGATTTATACATTGTTCTGACATAATGAAATGCAAAGAGATGAAGTGTTTTATTTACACAGTAACCTCTTATTTCAACAGTTCACTGGCTTTTACATAGGCTTTCTTGGCCTCATCAGAAAGGCCTCAGGAAGCATCACTGTGAGCCTTGCAGAGCAGCCTCACAGTTTACAGAGACCAAAGCACTGGGCCGTGAAGTCAGGAAGAAGAAAACAACATCATAAACCAACAAGAAACAAAACCAGGAGACCTGAGATCTTCCACTCCTCAAAGGCAGCCGCAGAGCTCTCTGCCACCCTGATGTTTTTTCCTCTCTCTGGATACAGAAGCCACAGAGTACATGCTTGTTGAATGAATCCCTTCCCAGGTTCATCATTCACTCAACATTGTCAATCGTCCTTCACTGAACATGGTGCTCCCTCTAGGGGACAGAAGGAAGTGCATAGAAACGTGAAAGGGGTACAGTTCTGCATTCAAGGAAAAGGCAGCCTTGAGAGGAAACCAGACAAACACTTGAACTGAGTTCCCTACAGTAAAGGGCATAGCAGGTGTTAGGGAGGGGGGCTCAAGGAAGAGACCCACTAAACTAATCCAGGGGTAGATGAAGACAGCTTCAAAGATTCGTTTCAAGTGAAAATCTTTTCAGCTCTGTTAAGGACCAACCTCCTATGAGTTTAGTTCAACTCCCCAGGTGGAGAACATGGAGGGAGATTTGGTGTTTCTCTTCTAAACAGGCGCTCTGGCTATAATACTGGAGGGCACAGGAGTTCTTGGCCAGGACTCTTCAAGAAATTTGAAAAGTACATGAGTGAGCATGATAGATTTGGCTCACACTCTCTTTCATAATATGACCAGGATTTGACATGGAAGATAACAGGAGGCACCCTAGATAACACTGCTCTTATTTATGAGAGCAAAGCACATGCCCCCAAACACGTGCTCTGTATACTTGGGTACAAGCACGTGGATGCAAAAAGCCTTCTTCATTACCACCATTAGAAAACCAAGAAGGAAGTGGTTTGCTCCAGGATTCCCTCCACCTGTAGTTTTGAGAGAGAGAGAAGGAAAATTAGACCTCATTCTAAAGTAAAACCTTGCTATTCTAATTTCAAGTCTGGCTGAAGGACCAGCAGCATGAGGAGCATCCAAAAGCGAGTTAGAAATGCAGAATCTCAGGCCCCAGCCCCAACGTACTGCATCAGAAGCTGCATTTTAACAAGCTCCCCAGGTGATTTGCATGCATGTTAAAGTTTGAGAAGCCCACTCAAGACCAGCATGGTGGCTGAACATTGGAACACCTGAGGAGCTTTTTAAATGACTGATCCCACCCCCCAGGAATTCTGATTTAAATGGTCTGGCTCCCTAAGTGATTCCAAATGTGCAGAGAAGGTGATAAAGCACTTGGAGGCCTCCTGTTCCCCAAGAGAACCTCAGAACTAGCCGCAGGTCTGGGTCCTGATGCTGTGGAAGGACTACAAGAGCTTCCTGAAGCCCGGGGGAGCAGCTGCCGCTTCTTGGTACAGACAACCATGGGGATCAAGGCTGGCTGTTCATACCCGGGTGCCCCTAGCTCACCCCAGAGTCCATACTCATCAAGTCTCTTCACCGTGCCTTTCAGGATGTGGAATTCGTGTGGAGATTCGTCGTGGTAGATCATAAACCTTAAGCCTGGAATGGTCTATGCCTACATGTTTAGCTCATCCTCAAACAAATCATTTGCAATTAGGTTAGGGCCGTCTGCTGTAGAAGGTAATAGAAAGAGAAAGGTTGGCCAAAAAATGTTAGGAGCCTGAAATTTAAAAGCAACAAACAAAAACCAGAGAGGAGTACCCAAAGGGAGCAGCACCCAGCAAGCCCCTGTCGTGAGTCAGCACAGGGGAGGCCCAGCCCCCTCCAGGGGAGCCTGGTTAAGGATCGGACTCAGGGGCTGGGCTGGGCTGTGTAAGCTGCTGCTGCTTGTCCCAAGACCAAGTCTTTCCCTTCCTCGGCTGCTTAAACTTTTTTTTTTTTTTATTCTGTGGCTGGAAAGAAGTGTCACATTTTGCTCACTCCCAACCCTCCCCCCCACACCCTCTGAGACCCTGAGCGGGTGGAGTGTGGAGGGGGTGCTGTGAGCCACCTCCAGCCTCGGGTGACTGCTGGAACTAACTTCAGCTCCCTCACTGCAACGCTATGAAGTTCCTCGGGAAGCCCAGGAGCCAGACAGCTGCCTCTCTGCCTCTCTGCTTGCTCTTTTTGAAAATTCTGCAACCAGGGCACAGCCACCTTTACAACAACCGCTATGCTGGGTGAGTGCAGCAACTTTTATGCCCTGCAGGGCTTTTAGTTGGATGAGGGGGCTGGCTTGGGTATGGTGGTCTCTCTGTGGGAATCTGAACCCCTTCCTGGTCACCTAAAATAACATGCCCGGGAGCTCCCGGCTCGGTGGTTGAGCTCACTGGGAGAATGTGATGGGTGCAAATCTAGCTTTCCATGCTTTCAGTAGTGGCCACCCTCCCCTGCGGCCCCGCGTTGAATGGGACCCTGTCTTTGCAGTGGCTACGGGCAGTATTTGCAGTATTTGCCTTGGTGGCTGCTGGGCAGGAGGGATGCTGCTGTACCACGTGAATTCTGACCTGAAAACTAAAGTTTCTCTGTAGCATTGTGTGCAGGAGCAGTGGGTTGAAAGTCACCGGTGATTAATTTAAGAACTGACTGTGATTTTTATTTTTAATGCTTGTTAGCCCACAGTGTGGTTTTTAGAAGGATTTTCAAATCTGAGTGATGCAAATGAATCAACTCGAAATAAGCAGAATAAAAGTAGCCAACTGTAAAATATGGGTGTTTTTCTGAAGGGAGAAATACAGAAGGGAAAACAATTCATTTTCCCCAGTAGGTTAGTGTGCTTTGTGTCCAGATGCCTTTCATGAGGCGGCACGGGGCACGTGGGGTGGTGTGTGGCTGTTCACGTCCTGTTATCCCAAAGGCTCGCCCTGGAAGATATGTATACAGCGTGTGCTTTGCTCGAATTTGCAGGGGGTCATGCTTTGAATCTGGAAATTATGGCATTCCTGCATTTTAGAGCTGGAAAAACCTTAAATAACTCCTCTAGTTTGTCTTTTCTGCAGAGGAGGGAAACCGGTGTCTTAAATCTTTTTTAAATGGTCTACTATTGCTCGATAATTACCAGCTGAGGGAAGCTTTCATGTAGACCTGGGTTATGACCGGGGAGTGCCCAGTGTCCTAAAGCGGGGTTGCTCTTTCTAGGAATAGTGTAAAGAGAATTTCTAAGTGTGACCCTGGAATTAGAACTGTGTTTACCTGCTCCTGAAGAATCCAGGCTCTGCCTTTAGAGTCCCTGTGAGCACAGTGCTTACAGGGGACATTTTCAGAACATGTCCTCAGTTTTAGGGGATGCAGGCTGGGGGTGGGGGTGTTGGTTAAGATGGGGACTATCTATGGTCATGCAGTCCCCAATTTTTCCACCCCACTGTTCCCACGAGAAACAGAAAGGAGTGAACATCTGAGGGCTGCTTTTTGGCCTCCTAGACACACAGAGTCCAGGCTCTACATCCTGTCATTTGTCACCACCCTTGGAGACCTGGGGAAAGAGGCCCGTGTTTAATGGTTGATGGTACAGGCTGAGGTTGGGGAGGAATTTACTCTCACTGCCCTAGCTGACTCAGGCCATGTGATAAACATACATCACAGGGTTAGATGTGCCGTGTGACAGAGGACCTCACTCCTCTGCTCAGCTGTGGCCCTCTCTATGGCCCTCTCCATAACTATTTCAGTGTGTGGCACTCCATGACAAGGTACCAGGCCTGCTTCAGCTGCGCCGGTGTGCGCACTCTCCGAGGAAATGAGGCCAATGCCGGTGCCCTTCCAGAATGTGCAGCAACTGGAACTCTCTGGAGGAAGCTGCACTACCTTTTCTATTCTGCAATGAAAGTAATAATTGCTATTTTCTCTTTGGCTGCTACATAATAAGTTAACCCCAAATGTATAAATTACCAGGCGTCTGAAAGCTGGATGAAAACTGCAAAAATGAGAAAGTGAAGAAGGCAGCCTTACCTGTCCCTCACAGTAGAAGCCTAGAACTTCCTTTAGACAAAAAAGGTTACAGAGCACATTCCCCATCTAAAGGGTGGGGATTTTACTTAACTGCATTACTTACCTGTTATTGTCTCATCACCAAAGACAAACGCTACGTAGGGTTGGGAGATTTTGGCTTTGTTTACTCAGGAACTGCTCTCTGGAAGCCTAGCTCTCCAGGGAAGGGAGAACCTGAGGGGCTGACATAGTGGGATAATATTTAGCATTATTTGTGTTGCCCATCCAAAGTTGTAATTCTAAACCACTTCATTTTTATTCCTTATATAATTTGTTCTGGTTTTGTTGCTAATAATTATGGAGCAGCCCTTCTTCTTGCATTCTTATAAAAATATTTTTGCAGGTCTTGGTTGACTCTAACAATATGGGATTATCATTTGCAGGCCTCTGCACATGAATAAAACATAGAACACTGAGGGCAGACCAGTCAGTCCTCTTTCTACGTAAACTAGTAACAATTGTATAGTGTCAACTCTATGATAGATGGTTAGTAGTAAATGGCAAATTTAAGGGTCTCAGGGGGAAAAAAGTTGCAGAGAAAGTACAAGGAAAATCTGATAAGAGCTAATGTCTTTTTGGATAGCTGTATGAAATCACACATTTATAAGGGAGATTTAAAATACAGAGAAAAATTGCTCGGCCTTTTGGCTAAGATCAAGTGTAAAATACTTAGAAAAAGAGTTAAACTAAATGTGGAAAATAACTTGACTTCAAGTAATATGTATCGATACCCTACTGTCAGAGGACTTTGAGGGCTGCCATGCAAGTCATTTTCCAGATAAAAAGACGTCAGTCAGTGAGTGGACACAGGCAGACATCACTGTTCTCTCCTTTTCCCTCACTTCCTCGTGTTCCTGGAAGCAGACCTGGTTATTTATTACACTGGGATGCTAAGGGCAAAAACCTGAAGATCTTCCAAATCAGGGGAAATTAGGGTAGATTTTTTCTTTTACTAGTGGTATAAAAGACAGATCTAAGACAACAAAGCAATAAATTCTGCCAATGCTGTGGACTTACAGTGGCTAGGGTTTTTTGAGAACTACTTACTCTGTACTTTTTTCATGTGAGTCAATGTGACAATGTGTATAGGTCCTGAAGTTCAATTGCTTAGTTTTCAATTTCTGCTTTCCCACACTTGGTAGCACTGTTACCTTGGGCAAGTTCCTTAACCTCTCTGAGCCTCTAGGACAATGGAGATAATATTAGAACCTTCTTCACCAAGGTCTTGTGAGAAAGGGTAGTGCATGGCTCTTGGCATTTTCTAAGACTTAACAGGGTGGTAAAAAAGCTAATCCTTATTAATACTTAATATAAACATTCATAAAAATATCTTCTCAACCTTATGCAGTTGTGTTTTCTTTTTAAATATATCTTTATTGATTTCAGAGAGGAAGGGAGAGAGAGATAGAAACATCAATGATGAGAGAGTCATTGATCGGCTGCCTCCTGTATGCCCCCACCCCACACTGGGGATTGAGTCTGCAACCCAGGCATGTGCACTGACTGGGAGTTGAACTGAGATCTCCTGGATCTTAGGTCGATGCTCAACCGCTGAGCCACGCCCAGCTGGGCGCTTACTCAGTGTTTGGTATTCCCATTGTACAGATAAGCGAAATGAGGTGCAGACAGGGTAACCCAAGTTCAGCGTTACCTGACCCAGCTCCACCTGACTCCACAAACTAGTACTTCTCACTCTACCACCCACTCAAGTATAGAAAACAATTGCTTTAAAAAAAACCCAAAAAACTGAATAATTTTATTTGTGAAATTGATCCTTTTAAGATAATAAAGGAGTAGATTATGTAGATAAAATTGGAAGCTTAATCTTGGTCACCTTCTCTAGGGTGATGACAAGTCACTGATGGTAATCATTACTAGAAAAGCAGGCAGAGACCACAGGGATGGAAAAATGGAAAATGAAGGAACTTTAGATTATCATACACACACACAGTAGCACAGAAAGTGGCTGTGGATGTGTGCCTTCATTCATCGAACAAATATTATTCGAATGCCTACTCTGTGCCATGAATGTTGACCAGCAGAGCCAATGTCCTCCGAGAGCTTACAGGAAATAGCCCCACACCTAACATTAATATACAATGTGTAAATGCTGTAAGAATGACAGACTACCATGAAATTGATAAGAGAGCTCCATGAACCAAGAGGGAGGGGTAGAAATCCTTCCAGGGCCTCATCTATTGTCACCCAGCCCTGCTTTATCTCAGATAGAGGTGAAGAGAGAACTGCCTTCCTGCCACCAGAACTGCTTCTGGGGTCTTGAAACTATTGGTAATGGATCTGCCTGAGAGGCTTCCTGTCCCCTCCTTCCACACCAGTTCTGCATTCATGAAGACCCCTTTCATGTCTCTGAGGAATTTTTTCCCCTTCTCAGGGGAGCAGCTCCAATGAGTCGGGCTTTTTCCCATGACCATAGGTGTGTGCAGGCTGGTTACAGCCACTAGCCAGCTGGTGCGTTCTGATTAGTCAGTGTCCATGCTATAGCTTATAGTGTCCAAGTTACCTTGTCACTCATGGAAACGAATATAAATATTCAGAAATTAGACTTGAAGGAAATAAATTTTTTTAAGTGTTTGGTTCTCAAAATCCTGTAGGCAAAGAGGCCCCAAGCTGGGATGTGACATGTTGAAGAGAAAAGGACTGTGAGAAATACAGTGACAATAGATCAGGGTCAACCTCAGGGACATCACGTGTTTCCATCCCACCTCTCCAGCTAGACCCTCTCTCAGTAGCAGCTTTCATTTTTTTATCCTACAATGGCGACTTTTAATGCTCTGAACTTTTAGAAACCTAGGGCTGGTTGTATGAATCTGGGAATTATCTTCTGTGTCGATAGTTAAAGCTCTTTTCAGGTAGGATGGCCATAAATTGTCATTTTCCCAAGACTGTTCCAGTTTGCACCTGCTGTCCTGGTATAGTAATTGGCAGTGTCTCCTTTCAGTCTGAGAAGGGTCTTCATATGGGCAGGACCCTTCATTTTGTGGGTTCAAGCTTTTTATTCTTTATTGCCTTTGTTATTTTGATGAGCTTTATTTCAAGTGCTCAGCTACTCCCTTATTTCATTGCTAAAGAACAAGTTTATCTCTGCTTCCTTCCATTCTTATAAAAAGTGACCTGTTCTCTCCTCTCCCTTGTAATAGCCACCAGCCATGTTCAGGACTTCTTTATCTCAGCCTAG